ATTCACTGTAATATCGAAATATCACACCCACCTCACACGTAAGGTGACTCCCTCACCACCAGAACTACCTAATCCACCAAACCAAAATTTGCGGCAGAGGATCTTTAAAAATCTACAGTGAGTGATCGATCTCATGAAATGTTGATCAAAACTCTGAAATGCGATTAGGAAGAATTTCTTTGGTGGGGTTGTAAGACTGATTATCTTGCGGCATAATCCTATAATAATTCGGACTCGGCAGGATGTCGGCTTCGAATGCGCTTCTTTTCAATTTCCTGTAGAAATCGCACTGGATAAAAAATGGCTACTTGATTAGCATGCATTTTCACACTGATTTTCGATTATCTTATAAATTCAAATACATTTCATGGAAAACTTGAACAAAAATATATTTTCTTTCGCTCGTTTGATACAGAATCACGTTCATAGGGAAAATGAACGCAGAACTCCAGTGCCTTAAATGATACGTGGACGTGGTCAGTTACACCAGATGTCCTTACTCATGAAATGTTAACCTAAATATTGAAATCCGTTCCCGACTCGAAAAGATTACATAAGTAGGGGTTGTAATATTAATCACCGCGCAACGTTATCCCATAACAATTCAGTTACTTCAGGGTGTCAACTTTTGAATGAACTTCTACCCGGCTGCCTGCGAAGACTGCATTCTGTAAAAATGGCTGCTTAAATAGTATGAACGTTTCTCATTGAGTTTCGATGTCCTTGAAAATTGAAATAAATCTCACAGGAGACATGCAAAAATATTCATTCTTTAACTCATTTGGTCGAAAATTACGTCTTTTTAAATTGTATCCTTGATGGGAAGGTGCATTTCGGTTTTAAAAGGTTTCTTATTAGGAGATTTTTACGACTGTGAAATGCCTGTTCATATAACCTCGTGTCTCTGTATCTACTAATGTTACTTGTTAAGTTTACAATATGGCTCAAATCCACTGCTACATTTTATGAACCCCATATGGTCTCCTCTTAATAGCTTATAAAAATGTATTTTGAGAGAGAGAGTGAGAGAGAGGAATGCTTTATTTTGAAAATAACTTTCAAAACTTTCAGCAAAAACGGTTCTCCAGTACACAGTGATTACCATAGAGATTAACAGGTTTTGGACAGGTGGACATGATTAGATAGGAAGAAAAAAGGACTTTACGGTGCAAGATCGAGTTTTAGTTTTTGTTTTTCAACATCTTTGCAGGTGAGATACCGGGCTAGAAATGGCAGTATGGAATTCCGATAGGCCGAAGTGCGGCAAGGAATGTGGTGGAAGCATCGACGCATGGGGCGTAAGGATTTCACAGCCATTAACTCATTATGAAGGGGATGGACGGTGTCATTCAGAATTCGGTCAGCGAATTGCTCCACCGAGTTGAAGTGTCGCTGCACGATGATATCAACTAAAATATGATAGGAAACAGCAGCAGCAGAGGCGAGCATTCGAATGACACGTTTAAAAATAATTAGATCTTTTTTAAGTACGCAAAAAATATACACCTTGAAGTTTGGAAGCTTCAAATGCAAGTGTACCGACAGGTCGGGCCCAAAATCATTCGGGAATTTGAGAAGTCTTTTAAAACCGAACTGTACCAAGCCGTCAAGGATATAGTTCAAAGGAGGCATAATTTTCTACCAAATAAGTAAACGAATGAATATTTTTTGCGTGTTTCTTGTGAGATATATTTTAATTTTTAAGGATATCGAAAGTCGAGGAGAAAGTTCATACTATTTAAGCAGTCATTTTTACAGAGTATAGTCTTTGCAGGCAGTCGGATAGAAGTTCATTCAAAAGTCGGCATCCTGTTGTAACTGAATTTTTATAGGATTGCGGTGATTAGTATTACAACCCCTACTTACGTAATCTTTTCGAGTCGAGAACGGATTTAAATATTTCGGTCAACATTTCATGAGTTAGCACATCTACTGTAATTAATGCGAACAACAAACGAGAAAGTTCAGCTTCAGTTTGTGGCGAAGTCCAGCTTCTACATTTAAATAGAACATGGTTTAGGAGTAAATGCACGAGAAAAAAACAGCTCAATTTAAAATTTTCACATAGGATCGCGAGTTTGTTTAAAAAGGGCCGTAATATTTGCTTAAAAATCCGCCAGAAGAAAGTTTGTAATAAAAGGAACTTGTTTTTATAACATGCACGTTTCTTTGCGTCAGAGGCACTCTAGAAGGCGCCAAAATGCAGAAAACTTTAAATAAGCTATCTAAGCCTGCCTTCGAACGAAACATTTTACTTGATTTGTGATTTTTTACTAAGTAGACGGAACAACCTAGATTGCTGTAGTGTGATGGGTTTAGGGCGACATTATTTTTCAGTCACCCAGTTCAGTTATTCTGGGACAGAAGATAGTACTCTATTAGCATGTATTTTCTTCTACTGATTTACGACAAAAGTGTCTATTGGATACTAACTCTTATGAAAAATTCACGAAAAAATGAATTTTCGGCATTTGTGTTGCAGCACTCCACCCCTCCCGAAATCTACCTTTCGAACGAAGGGGAGGTTTTGTTTGTAAAAATTGTAATTATAAAAATTCTTTTGGCCCGATTGGTGCAAGTTTGTTTTGCAGACAGCACATTTTACGCAATCTCTAGAAACTGTTATTGTATTTGCATAAATACCGAATTTCAGGGAGAAAATATGACTTTGTTTCATCCCATCACGCATAATTTAAATGTAGGTAATGCTCCTGACTAATTTTCGTTCGTAAATTTTTTGGTTGATGTTTCGTGACTTTTAACCGTTTGGCGAAATTGCGCATTATACTGCCCCCTGAAAGGAAGACATTTATTATCAGGACAAAAATGCTTGTTTACTGAGCGGATTTTCATCAATTTCCTTGTAGTTTGCACGTTTATCGAGTTTTTCGTGTCTTTAACTGGCACCCAAAAAGATCTGCCCGTACTGTTAAGCGTCATTTCCCTCTGTCGCAGAAACCGTCAAATCACCATCTATGTTGATCAGGTGTACTGTATCATTTGTACCACAAGCTATCCGAGACTCGCTATGGAGGTTCGTAACTACCGTGTTCTGACTTGGTGAATAACCCTTCAATCAGAACTCAGTTGTTGAGATGGCGGTATGAATCACGCATACTCCTCTGAGCACCTAAATGGACCATCGTACCTTGAAGGGCAGGTTATTCAGACATGCGATCTGAGGTCTGATTCTCGTATGTTTGGCACACGTACCTGAGGTCACTACCGTGGCGAATGAACCCTGTTCATCAGACCGAACGCATGTAACACGACTCTGCTGATGTGATATGTCAATTCTGATTTATAGTAGCTCTCGTGCAGTGTCGACTGACACCTCAACGGAGCACACCTGCGTGCCTTGTTCTAACACTTTGTCAGCGGGAGAGCCTATTTTGTGGAGGGGAGTTGTAGTGCGATTTCGCTAATTACTGACATCCCCCTGCTGAGCCTTTCCGTATGGCCTTGCGATCGTTCCACTGTCTTTGGGCTGCAAACTGAGGTTCCCATCCACAGTCACATTATGAAAAGCACTCACAGATGATAAGGTCGGGAGGAACTGGGATGCTCATGTATGGTCAGCATGGCTTTCATTAACCAGTCATACCCCAACCCCAGATCTGGAGCACCTGAGGCTAAGGTCCGGGAACAGCTGGCCACGGGATCACGCCCAGTCAGATGCGGTCAGGAATACTCAAGGTCACATAGGAATAGCATTTTACCGGTCTGATACCGGAGAGGGATGTGCTTTGCTGTAGAACTTGTCAGTGCAGCGCCATTCCCATGAAATGCTGAATATGCTGACAAGGCGTGGGCTCGTGGCCCAAACAGTAGTGCGTTCGATCGAAATACTCAATAAACAACTGATCTCAACCCATGTCCTGGGTCTCTCGGACTTGGAAATGAGGCAGGACTTACTTATGACAATAATTATGCCAAAAAGGAGTGGTTTAAAACAGCTTCATTGGGTCATATGGTGCCCTACTGGAATTATCATCCCGCACAGCCTAGAAACAGACGCCATTTTCCAGCTTTCCTCTATCGACACACTTGCCTTTACGTTCCTAAGTCTTCACGAGAGAAAAACGAAATTGATTAAAAGGCAATTTTTGCTTTAGCTCAGAACGCCTGACCTTCTTGCAGCCTCCTTCCAAAAGTATGGACGAAATTGTTAGGGTAAAACCATGCCTGTACCGATAATTATTTGTTCTGAAAGCGTGTAACAGCATTGGATAAACCTGATATAGTTGCAGGGCATCTCTCATTTGGCACAAAACCATGTCATCGAAGTCGTTTTTTGGGTTTGGATATTGCCGCTAGAGCGGTAACTGGATGACTGCGCCTACTATTTCCATCCGCGCATGAAGGATTTTCATCTGAACATTATAGACTTTGGCTTATTTGTTGTAGACCAGTACGTTTTGTATCTCCCTCCTGACTATTATGTTTTCTTCAAAATACCGCAGAAGTTTCGCCCGGTGGATCAGACACAAGCCGACTCTGTCAACCCACTCCGAACACACACACACTTTCCACCAGGGTGGTCATATTTCATCTGTTGTAGGCCGCTTTACTCAAGTCGATGCGTGTGAGTGTTTTTCAGCGCCCATCGTTGAGTCTGAAATAAAATCGCGGATACATGGGAAAAACAATTAATTTTTTTTCTCCGACCGTAAAACCACTCCTAGCGGGCGGTTACTACCGCAGAACTGCTGGGCTGTTTCCTATTGGTCCACCCGATTTCTTTGTCCGATTTTGATTCGTCTTCTGGTTAACCAATAAGAGTAAGCAGAGTAGAGCTCCTAAGGCAGTCATGAGTGCAATCGGGCTATAGTCGTGCCTGTAGATTCAGGCCCAGATTTCGGTGCGTTTGAATAGGTGAGTCAGCCACATTACATTATCAAAATGTTGTGGAAGAATTCTTTTCTCCTAAACTAGCCTCGGTTGGCTTAGCCCACCTGCATTTCGTGTATTTTCCTCTATATTTACCAGAGGCCTGACACATGACGGACGCCGACCTGCAGGAAAGACAGCGGAAGAAGGGTCTTCTATGCTTCATCCCGGCTGCAATGTTTGCCTTTGGAGGCTTCGTAATGATGGTCGCGGGCATCGCCATCATTCTTCTTGTAAATCCCGATCATTCGGATTGGCGGTAAGATAGCAACGGCAGTTGACCTTTTTCTCTCAATGAAACCAACCAAAAGCATTACCGACAGAGACTAGGCAGATGGTCTGTCTTGTCAGTAATGCCATTCTCTCTACATTGTAACGAACCGCAATGTCAATACGAAGGCGGCCCAAGGAAAGCAGGACTCTAGCAATTACTATGTACGATGAGAAACTAATGGGGGGTGCTAATTCCAGAAAATAAACTAGGGCAAGACGTGATTGTCCAGGGGCGGTTGGCGGAGAGCACAGGGATCCGGCGAAGACGGCATCGGAGGTCCCACGTCCGAAGGTCGGCGGCCTGCCACGGGGTTGTCGAGAGTGACTTCCCGCCAGTACTTACGGCTTTTCCAAGCGTCAAGGTTGAGTCCGCCACTGATGATTGGTTGGGCGTAGTTTTGTTTCGAAAAGTTGAACAAAATTAAGCTAGGACTAATTCCATTAATTTATAGTTATATAAATTTATTATATGTGAACTTTTTTTAAGAAGTGCCTGTCGTATAAATACGGGAAAGTTTGGCGCGCGCGCGTCCCCATAGAGGTTAGGGGCGCGTCTTGTCTGTGCTTCTACAATATTGCAGCGCATAGGCTGGCTTTCTAGAACTTTCTAGAACATATACTACTAACCGCGGTGCGACTGCTGGGAGGCTCGAGGTTGAATGCTAAGGCACGACGAGGGAGGAGCGTGTCCCATTTCGCAATGAGCGAGCGCTCCACTACCAAAAGCCATATTTTGAGGGCTCCTGTAAGGCCTTCGTTTAAAATTTTAGAATAGGGAAGCAAAAAATCTAATTTTTCCTAAATGGCTGCCTTCGAAAGTGTACGGTTTGCTAATTAACCCGACTGCTGATTAGATTTCGTAATCCAAGTGGGCAATACGGGCAGAAATTAGCGTCGGTAAATTTCCCCACCTCCTCCTATTTCGATTGTGACATTAATCATGGCAGTATTGTAAATGTTTGCTTCAAATCTCATAGTGAATTAATGACAAAGTCGCGAGAACCAATCAAATGAAGGCCCTGGCTTCGTTGAATTGAGATCGGAGTTGCTAGTTGAATTTTCCCAGTAGGCAATAAAGTCATTAGGAGAAAAAGCTTATCTTCAATTATCCCATTAGCAAAAGATGCAGAGATAGAAATAGCTGCAAGAAAAGCAAGTTTTGTTCGACACCTTTAAGGAGCTATTAGGTGGACATAGAGTTTGGCAAAACAACCATTCGTAAACGGCTGGGGACATTTTCTCATTTGCGCAGTCCCCTTTAATGCAGGTTCAAGTTTCAGAAAAAAACCCCGGAAATGGCCATTATTAACGTATGCGCAAAGGGGTAGAATTTCCAGTGTAATCGTCATTTTTAGTGAATTGGCATCTAGCTTCCTGTTTCGGGTTTACCCTGGAAAAAAGTTACTTCTCCCATATGAAATCTCGGCCATCAGCTAATTTTATATACTTATTTCGAATAAGTGAACTTTGTAGGAAAGCGTTTAATTGTACTTTCTTTTGAAGAAAATGACAGCTTCCTGAAATTTCGACTTAAAATCTAGAAGTTATCTAGATATAATAATTTTAATGAATTTTATTCTTTTCAAGACGTGGTAGGTGCATTTACCATGCCTTACTGCCTTCACGTTACTTGGAATGCATTTTGGACCAATTTAAATGTCTGTTGACCTGATCTAAGGCGCCTGTTGACACCCGGTGTCAGTCAGTCTACCGAAGACGATAGAAATTTCATTAATCCTCTAAGTGTGGACAGTTAACCTATCGCAGCCATCAGGAATCAGCGAAAAGATACACAATGCAATTTAGGCTCTTTATGTTGAGGGACTTTTCACCGAAATCATCCCGCCAAGGGCAAAAAAGTCACCTTATATTATGCTCCTCATCTATAGGTATTGCAGCCCGACTTGCGCAGTCTGTTCCTTTTGGGGGCATATTTGCAAATGTCAGCCCGTATCAGAGGTGTACAAGACGGAGACAGCGACTTTTACATTTCATTTCCGCAGGCTCCGGCTAGCTGGTACATGATCACCCGATAAGTGGTCATTGTTTTCTTTCGAACACCAGTCGGTTGCCTTTGCACAAACTGCCACACACTCTATAATCTATATCCACTCAAATGCCCGGATCATTCGACTGTCCAGCGATATTGTCGGTATCGTTTCCACTAAAGGGCGGTTATGGGTCCTTAGAAGCGAAGAGACGAGCCTCAGGAAACAGTCGTGAAGAAGGAGACACGATCGCTGTGACAAGAGCTTTATTAGCCTGATGTTTCGGATTCCTGCTCGAACTCATCATCAGAGACAAAAGCAGATACGGATGGTTCATGCACAAGAAGCTGCAGTATTTATAGGACGCAGTCGCCATGCTACCGCATACCTATGAGTATTCACGGCTTTCCACACCCCCCCCCGCTTTATCAGGGATCGTTGCACTTGGTGTGCTGACTGTTTGATGGCCGACATTCGCGTCGTTAGTTGCTGAAATTTCATCACGCGCGTTGGATGTTGGTGTGATGATTGCTCGACCATCTGACCCACCGACCCTGGCGTTGGGAAAAGTGTTCACCTGTGCGCGCCCCACGTGGCTCATTACTCCGTCTAGGCGAAGTCTCAGCACCGAGTATGGAAGGGGAAGGTCATTGCACTTGTTGATGGACTGGGGGCCAGTGAACCATGACTCATGCAGATAGCGGCTCAAGCGGTTTTCGCCTCTAATGAGAATTCGGCTTCGTCAAATTTGAATGTGTGGCCGGATCTCGTCGAATGAGTCGCACCTTGATAGCTGGCGTCATTTCTCCGTACCGTTGAAGCGTGTTCGGTCATTCGCGTTCGGAGCTGTCTTCCGGTTTCTCCGACGCAGTTACTTTGTTCGCAACTGCACCAGATCCGATAAACGACTCCAGACATTTCTAGCCGTGGCAGCGTGTCTTTCGGTTTCAGCAACTGACGCCTGATGGTTGCCTCCGGTCTTGTCCCAGCGATCGTGTCTCCTTCTTTTAGACTGCTTTCTGGGACTCGTCTCTTCGCTTCTATTGACAGTCTAACTGTTGTGTCAGCTATGGATCCACCAGGGGATGCATCACATGCTAGGCGTGGTAGCGGCAACCAGTCCATACACTGCGCACACTCCCAAGGTCCCGAGCCCTTGGCCAGGCCTTATGGATGGAACGCAATGGCTGTCAGATGACTAGGTGAGACCGGCGCTGCGCAAGTCTCCCTTATTTTAGACAGGCTGTTGCTGCCCTAGAAGCCAGTACATCCAACCACGACGCCAGATGACCAGCTGGCTTGGAAGATCAACAGGTGGATGGTAGATGACAAAAGCGAGGGAGAGAGAGAAGGTCTACCCTGAGGAGTCCAAACCTACGGCGTTACAGCGCATTCCTCGCCATAATAATTCCCAAGGACTTTGAAATTATCAGGATGCGCCAAATGTCATTGCGTGTGTTTGCCCCCTAAAACGTGCCACGCGGTAGATGCAATGGGCCAACACGGGAGCTAGATTGGAATCCGGTAGGCGTTATCAGGAACGCGCACCTGTCACAAATGTCAACATCCTGGGTGTGGTGGCACGCCCATTCGCGGGCTCATGTCGCGCCAGTTGGGATCCGTGTCGCACACCATTATCTTGTATGTATGACCAGCGGTTGTGCTGGGTTTTTGCCGTGCCAACCACCTGAGTCCTCTCCCGCCCCCGGTTTTCTTGACTCTGTCTTGACATCGAATCCAGGTGAGGTAGTAGGAGAAAGTGCGGTAGATGCTACGCATGTCACTTTCCCCGTGCTCACTTTGCCGTGGAGCTTACGGTGGACAGCGGCGATCGATTTGTCGTCTGCGTGCAGGCTTCCATTCTTCGCAACAGACGACTCGGACAGCGACTGGAGTCTGGTATTGGGAAGGGAGAGTGAGGTCGACGACTCGGTGCATTCGCCTCACTATAAACAATCTGACGGGCTTGAAGCTATTGCTGTGCACTAAAAGCCGTGGCTTGGAAGGTTGCCAACTGACGAGGTAACTAGGAACTCGCGGTCGATCCAGTGTTGTGTGTTTGTGTGAAATGACCGACTGTTGGTCTGAGAGTCGGACCGCAGTGGCTCCTTTATCGCACTGCCGCGTAATGGAGTCCAGACACGCGCATCCAGATGACAGTTTCTGCTGGCCCGGCTCGCCGAAAAATCGTGCTGTGTTGCAAGGAGGCCGGATCAGTAACCCCGATCAACGCTAAATCCCACAGGAAGGAGATTCTAGACAAGGTCTCTGCAAGTCGAACAACCCGCTATAGTCCATTTGTTTGTTTCAGACCAAACAGTTACAGACTAATAGTTGTCGCTTGAGTCAGTACATGGACGACCGCATTGCCGAATGCACCGACAAACTGAGCCGTCGTATTTCGGCTGTTGTCCGCACGCTTCGGATCGAACTCAAACAGAAATCCTAACGAAGCAAACATCTAACAATTTATCTTTGGAGGACTAGGACATGAAGGTCAGGCCAGTGCTCCTTAGGACTCTAGAGTGGGTCAAGCATAGCACTCGGCCACGGTTTTCTGGACCGAACAATGGGACAAATATTGGGATGATGATGTTGTTGTTGCTGTTGATGATGATGATGATGATGATGATGATGATGATGATGATGAGGATGATGATGATGATGATGATGATGATGATGATGATGATGATGATGATGATGATGATGATGATGATGATGATGATGATGATGATGATGATGATGATGATGATGATGATGATGATGATGATGATGATGATGATGATGATGATGATGATGATGATGATGATGATGATGATGATGATGATGATGATGATGATGATGATGATGATGACGGTGTGACGACAGCGGTGCTGTTGCGGAAAGACAGTTTTGTTGGAAGTGCGAACAAGTAGCATATTTCCGCACTCACTCCAGGCATTCAACTATAAAAGTTCATAACACCCATAGGCAGATGAAAAAACGCGGCAAATTTGACAAACTGGTAGAATGTGCAATGTTTCGGAAAAAGGATTCCGGTCGGAAAAGGATGTTTTTCTCCCTAAATTGCGACCTAGGGCCGCCTTAAATACGGGAATGGTGGTGTAGTAGCTTTTAGTGGTGGAGCCTTTTACGAGAGGAAATGTGGAGTTTGTAAATACATAAAAGGGAAAATCGTATTTTGCTCGGTTTAGTATATTAAAGCGAAATAAACAGTCACTTTGCGGGAAGACAGTTCATTCGTTCCTTACTACGCACGGTTGTAAGCGTGACAGGTCGATCATCCTTGCCGGCGATGTCCACCGTGTGCTCCACACCAAGTTGAGAGGGGGGCGCGGTGACCTGTGCGTGATTTAGTTTATAGTGTCAGTAGACTTGCACAGCATCCGCCTCACTCTCTCCTACTCCCCTGCCTGAGCCAGATCTTAAGACCTAATCAAAAAGACCAAAGACGGGAGAGGGCGCAGGTGGCAGTCATAAATACCCCCTTGTATCATAGGCGACCTTGCATTAAGGTCCAGAGAGGTCGGAACAGCGGTTAGTGTTGGGATCAGGGTAGTTGTTAGAGTTAGTAGGGTTATCGTCAGGGTACCCCGGGGATTCAGCGCAAAGCCACCTGTAGTAGTGGAAGTCGTTTTTTTTCGTGTCTAACAAATAGTTCCAACGTGTCAAGTCGCGCATCGTTAGACTGATTTTCAATGAGCTATGCTGTGGTGATGGATGCCCAAGTAACATCCCGAAACTGCCCAAACAGGATCTGTATGGGTGGACTGTCAGATATATTATGATAGACATTTTGGACCTATTCATGCCATCCCTAGTCAGTAATATTCCCTGCCAGTATGCGAAAATCCGACGTCCGCCGTGTGCCAGGGACGCCGTGGGCGCTTGCGTTTGAAGGAGCGTCTAGCGCGGTTGAATGAGATAGTCAATGAGATTATACAGTGAGTGACCGATTTCATGAAATGTTAGCTGAAATTCTGAAATGCGTTTTCGATTGAGAAGGACTACTTATGCGCGGTTGTAATATTGATAATCTCGCGACATAGTCCTATGCTATTTTGGATTCGACAAGATGTCAGATTTTCAGTGCACTGCTATCTAATCTCCTGTAGAA